ACATTCCTGGTGCGCTGCATCCCTTGTGATCATGGAAGGCAGTAACACAGGAGGGAAAAGGAATTGCAGAGTGAGGATGGACTGGCTCCCTGGGGATGCCAAGCTCCCTTTTCAATCATGCCCAGGGCAGTGGCTGCCCTGGGATGATGGTCTTGCTGTTTGCTGCAGGGCTCCTGTAGATTAATAGGAATTGATGGTGCTCCTTTCCCTGCAGGATCTTGACCTCCTGGCAGGGGGGAGATGTCAGGCAGGGCTGAGCTGCGGGAGGCAAATGAGCAGGGAGGAGAGCTCTGGCCTTGCTCTCTCCCCTCATCACTCACCTTTTGGGGAGAGGAATTCCTGCAAACCCCTCTGCCTGCTGGGCAGGGACCATGGCCCATCCCAGCACTGGGCAGGATGTGGCCCCAGCTCTGCTGGTCCCCACTGCAGGACTCACCCACTCGGGCTGTGCTCTGTCTGTGCTGGGGAGGGAGCTTGGCACCCCAGGGAGGGAGTTTGGCACCCCAGGGAGGGAGCTTGGCACCCCAGGGAGGGTTTCAGGCCGACAGCTGAGTGGCCAAGGAGATGTTCATTTGGTGGTCAGGGGCTGATGTCCTTCCCTGCCCCTCCCTCCTCTCCCTGGGAGCATTCCCAGCTGCCACAGAAAATTCGGCGTCGTCCCTGGTGTGTGTTTGAGTCGTTTCCCTCTGACCCCCCCAGAACAGCCTCAAGTCACTCCCCATTTCCTTCCACGCACCTCTGAGCACCTGAACACGGCCCTGCAGAGGAAATTCAGAGCGGAGGAGGAGGAATTTGGGTCGTGCTGAGCTCCTGTTTGCACAGGAATGTGCACCACGGAGGGGCCGAAATCTCTCCCATCTCCTGCTCTCAGACGCCTTGGCAGCTCCTGCAGCTTTTCCCTGCTCCTCCTCCGTGCTGGAGCTTGGGAGGGAGAACCTCAGCCGGCCAAGACGGACCTGGAAAGGGCTGCCCGGCACGGGGGGAGCTTTGGTTGGGTCTGGCTTTGTCTCGGTGCTTTGCCCTGTGAGGAGGGGCGGGTATCTGGTGCCTGGGTTGGTTGGTTGTTTAGCCCCGTGTTTGCTGAGCAAACAGGGCTCCACGAGCAGAATTCCCCATTTCTCTGATCCTTGCAGGAGTGAATCAGTGCCACCTAATAGCTGCAAGCAGGAGCTGTAACTGCTGAACGGGACTGTTCATTTTGCCTTGTAAACACAACTGTTAATCTCTGTGGGGATTGAAAATTTAAAAAAAAAAAGGCTTAAAAGAAGCAAACTATTCCCTCCAAGCTTTCCACTCTTTCCTCTGGGAAATGGGGGCGTGAGGCTGTTAAAATGGTAAGGAAAATATGGAGGCACTTAGCATTTGTGAAAAGCAATAAAGTAGTTAGTGCTCCACAGCTTTGCTTCCGAGGCCCTGCCAGGTGCTGGAGGAGAAAGGGAACAGTTTCTCTCACTGGTGATGCCTAAAATACCTGTCCCATGAATTGCAGGGCAGGGAACCGGCAGTTTTTGGGTGTAGTAATGCAAGGGCGATCCACGTGGACAGTGGGAACAGTTCACTGAGTGTGGTCACTGCCCGTGCGGTGACACAGCGTTTAAAGGATCGTTTAAAGGATCGTTAACTTCTTGTCTTGATCCTACGAGGAGCTTTTCCTGATGGGATTCGGCTTTGGGCTCTTTGAAGTGTTTTAGCCAAGTATTTACTACCCGACTGTATTACAGTAAATGCAGATCACTCACCCTGCTGGCTTTAATCCTTGGCCACATTCCAAGCCGGGTGATTTCATTTTCCGCCTGTTGATGCCTAAACTCCCGATTGCCAGTTTTAAACTGCTCCTTCCCCTCCTGTCCTACCGTGCAACTGTCATGTTAGTGCACGTCGGGAACCATCAGCTCCCTCCATCCCCGCTGCCTCCAGCGCAGGGGTTGCCGTGGTTCCTGTCGGGCTGGAAAACAAAGGGGTGGCATCGCTTTGCTCAGCGAGTGCCACTTTCTCTCCCAAAGTCAATAAATGCCTCTGCTTCCTTTAGGACACTAAACGTGGTGGGAAAAAAAACCAAACAAACAAAAAACAAGAGGAATTCTCCCTTTGAAATCCATGCTGGGGGAGAGGGCTGGGCTGCTCCTTTCAGCTCTAAAGGGGATTCCTTCTCCCAGAAGGAATTCAGATGGAGAGGGGATGGAGCCCCTCATACCCCGGGGTGCTGGGGTGTGGGGAGGGGTGCCCGCTGGGGACCCCACATTTCCTGACCCTACATCACCCCCGCAGCCTTCTGGCATGTACATTGTGGATGGTTTCCTTCCAGGAATGGAGCAAATCCCAGTTTTAGGGGGAACCTTATGGCCACTGGGGCCGGGGCAAATTCCTCTGGGGAGGGGCGGAGGGCTGAGGGCAGGAACAGCCTCATAAATTCCAGCTGACAAACACTTGAATGGGAACTCCATCAACAGATGCCAAGTAGGTCCAGGTGTAGCTGGAACAAACAGCCCCAGCTGCCCGAGCCGTGAGGATGAGGAGCATGGAACAGGCACGGGGCAGCTCGGGAATGGCAGGAGAGGCAGGGAATGGCAGGAGAGGCAGGGAGCCATCCCGGTGCTATTTTTACCCCCACCCCAGTTCCTCTCCGAGGAGGTTTATATTTAGCAGCCTGGAGCTGCTGGCATTCCTGTAGGAGGCAAGGGGGGGGGGAAGGATTGGGATTTGTGGAGCAGTTTTTTGCCAGCCTGGAGCCGACGAGCTCAGGAGCCTCTGTAGCTTTTTCTTTGTCAGGAGCAAAACCTGACCCTGCTTTTCCAGGTGGGTTTAGTTCCTTGGATACCTGCAACGCTGGCAGTGTTTCCACACACCAGCAGTGCCCTGGTTCGAACTCACTCAGCTTGCAAGGTGAGGAGTCAGATTGGAACCGTGGGCTGGGAAAAAGGTCTCCAAAGCAAGTGTCAGGCTCTGCCTTCCCTCCCAAAGCAACAGCGCTGCTTGGAGGCGTTATTTGGACCACGAGGAGGGCGCCAGCAGGGAGACTTTGTTAATGCAGCATCACCAGTGCCACATCTTTATTGTCAAAGCACGTTTCTGTCGCGCTGAGGAAACGTTTCAGTGTCTGCAGGCTGAAGTGGATGTGTCTGTCATCCTCCTGCCTCACTTCCCAGCTCCAAGCAGCCTCCAGCCTCCCTTCCCACCCCCAGCAAACACCCCAGCCCCGATTCCAGGCAGGACTGAGCCTTCACTTTTAAGGTGTTTGCAGCGTTGGGGGTGGGAGGTGAGTGGGGGTGGCTGAGGCGTGTGAGTGCCCAGGATTCGGGTGAATCCCAGGGATTTTCAGGGGATTCACCCACTGCAGGGTGCCGTGCCTCACCGCAGAGCCTGGCAGGCACCCAAACGGAGTGTTTATATTGCTGACGGGTAATCTTTTAAGCTTTCAGATGCAGGCATGTCAGCCCGAGTGTTCCCGTTGTCCTGGCGACGGGGATGCGCCGGCTCCCGGATGCTGTGTCTGATCGCATCAGCCTGGAATGCGATCACCGTTTGTTTGTGCTGATAAGCCTCGGAGGGGGCTGGGGGGGGAGTGGGGACAGCCAGGGAAGAGCAGGGACACCCAGGAGTAGGGGGCCGACCTGCTCCAGGGCTGCGGGGGAAGGCACGGGATGTGGGAATGAGCCCCTTGGAGTGGGAAGGAACCTCTCCGGGTAGTTTTGGTGCCTGTTTGGTACCAAGGGTTGATTTGCCCCTTCAGATCCTCCCTTGGGTTGGTGGGTCAGAGCAACATTAAGGAGTAGAGAGCTGTTAATGGAAACTCCCCTGCCAGGAAGGTGAGAGAGTCGAGAGGATAAGGGATGGTGGAGGAGCATCCCTACACTCATGGGGTTGGGGAGAGGGACAGAACTGTGGCTGGTTGAGGGTAAGACACTGATGTCCCATCCCTGGAAGTGTCCAAGGCCAGGTTGGACAGGGCTTGGAGCAACCTGGGCTAGTGGAAAGTGTCCTTGCCCATGGCAGGGGGTGGAATGAGATGAGCTTTAAGGTCCCTTCCAACCCAACCCATTCCATGATTCCATGACAGCAGGGAGCTGCCAGGACAGCAGGCTGGGTGCTGGCTGGGTGCTGGCCAGGAGGAACAGCACCAGAGTGCAGCAGGGCTGGTGCTGGAGCCCAAACCCTGCCCAGACAGCTCTTCCAGCCTGATCCCATCCGTGCTGCTGAGCCTGGGAAGAGCCAAAGCAGGAAAGGAAAAGCAAAGCAGTGCCCAGAGCGAGCTCCCGTGGCTGCTCAGCCCCAGCACACTTTGCCATGTGCCCCGGGAGGGTTTTCTTCCTTTAAGGGTTTTATTGCTTTAATCAGATCTCCGGCTTAAGGCGACTCTAATGCCCATCAGGATGAGTCACTGGGGCTCACCAGGGAGCCGAGAGGTCAAAGCATCTCCCCGTACTGTGACTCTGGGGGATCCCCCCAGCCCATCCTGGCTCCACTCAGCTTTTTGCTGCTGGCTCAGAAAGTCTTTTGTGCAAGGGCAAAGCAGAGCCCGAACTGCCAGGGGAGAGGGGCCTCCCTGCACAGGGAGGAGGGTGGGATTGAGTCTTTTCCGTCACTATTTACTCTTTCTTGCCTTCCTTGTACGTCTACCCTGCTCTTCCCCGATCCAGGCATTCCCAGAGTTTCCAAGGATGCCACAAGGCACGGCCTGTGTTGGTAGTTGGGACAGAGTGTGCACAGCCCTGTTCTGGGCTCGGAAAAGAAGCCCCCCTGCCCCTCTTGACAATCTCCAGCTCTTAAAAAACGAGGAACCCAAATTTCCTTGGTGGCCACGTGGCTCCTCATCTGCTCTGACACAGCAGTGGTGCCTCGGAGATGGGGATGTCCCAGGGGACCCCTGCAGGTCTCCAGATTTGGGGAAATTTGGGTTGGGGTGCTGCCAGAGCCCCAGAGAGCAGGAGCTGTGGGGCTGGGGGGGGTGTGGAATCCTGTGTGTTGTGCAGCCTTCTCAGCCTGCTCTCCCTTCCCTGCAGGGCTCTGGCAGCACGAGGGAAAAATGAACAAGATGAAAAACTTCAAGAGGAGGTTTTCGCTCTCGGTTCCGCGGACGGAGACCATCGAGGAGTCACTGACGGAGTTCACGGAGCAGTTCAACCAGCTCAACAACCAGAGGAATGAAGGTAAGGAGCCCCCAGGCCCCTGATGTGCTGCTGGGGCTGGTCAGGAGCATCTGGGGTCAGTGTTGCCAGCAGGGCTCTCCTCTCCAGCCCCCAGGCTGTTCAGTGGGTGTGCGTGGAAAGTTTCTGCCCCTTTGTCGGGGTTGGTTCCTCATCCATCCCCCGGGATTAATAACACCTTGTCATTAAATGTGAAGAGGGATTTATACTTGCATAAGGAAAGACTTATGGGAGGGAAAGGTATTTGCACAAAACGGGGAGGAATGACACATCTGTGGTCAGGGTTGGGAGTGGGAAAGTGTGGGATCTCCTCCTGCCTGCCCAAAGCACCTCCCCGTGCTGTGACTCTGGGGGGCAAAAGTGGGCTGTGAGCCCTCTCCAGGGCTACAGGCTGATGCTTCCCCCGAGCCAAGGGGGCTGTTCTCTCTCTTCTGGGCATCACATCTCCTCCTGGACCCACAGCCTTCCCCTGGGAGGCCGTTCTCAGGGCCCCAGGGAGGTTTAGGGTTAACATGCCTTGTGCAAACAGAGCAGCCCTCGGTGCAGGCTGGGGCAGGCTCTGGGGCCGGGGGCAGAGCCAGGGAGGGGCAGGGCTGCAGGCACAGCGTGGGAGCAGCTCAGCCCCGTGGCCGTGCACGGGCAGGCAGAGCCTTTGGGCACCGGCTGGAGTTGGGCTCGGCCCATCCAGGGCTGAACTGGCTGCTGTGGGTGCGAGCCTGAGCCACTCCCGGCCACCCCCTCGTGCCACTGCTGCCCCCCGTGCCACAGCCCAGCCCCTCCACGCTCCACTGGGCTCCAGCAGGGGCTGGGCCACGATGGAATGATGTCATTGCCTGGCACTGGTGGGGAGGGACCGTCCCTGTGCCAGCCAACCTGCTCCCAAGGAGAGATGCAGTAACCTAATTTAGAGCTGGCTCTCCTCGCTCCCGCAGCCCCTGAGGCTCCTTTATCTCTCCACACAGCCGGGCTGCCCTGAGCAGCGTCCCTCCCTCCCGGCCTCCTGCCCTGCTCCCACACACCTCCCCTCACACCCCAGCCAGCAGCCAGGGCTATAATTAGACTTGAGCCCTTAATTAGATGTGCAGAAGCTGTGGGGATAAAATGGGGCAAGGCTGAGGAAGTCCTGGGTGCTGAGAGCTGCTCCTGCCCTCCCTGGGGGAGCTGTGCTGGGATGGGGGAGCCCGGGCGCCCTGTCTGTGCCCTGCAAACCAGAGAGGTGATTCCCCCGTTATTCTGCTCGGATGAGGAGTCAGTCACGAGTCTTTCTTTGCCCCTGGATGGCAAACCAGTGCAAGCAGCATCTGCCAGTCCCTCCCTGGGATTTTGGGCTTGCTCCTTAAGTAGCCAGGAGAGAGAAAGAGCAAAGTCTGAGCAGAGTGAGCCCGGGGCCAGGACTGAGGGTGTTCCCAGCCCATGGTTAGAGGCTGGACCAGTACTCGACTGGGATGTGGTGTAGGAGATCCTCCTGCCTGGACCAGAACCAGTCCATGAGGAGGTGTATTGGTAGATCCTCCTGCCTGGCCCCAGGAATGCATCAGGGGCTCAGGATCTGCCAGCACCACTCTGGGGGTACAGCTCCTCCTGTGCAGCCTCGAGCTCTCCCAGGGCCAGCTCCCACTGATCCTCCCCACATGGATGTGGCACATCCTGGTCCCCTCCCCAGCTTTCCCTCCTTGGTGCCCCCCATTCCCTGGTTGTTCCCAGTTTAGATCTCTCCCTCTCCCACAGAGCCCAGGCCGTGCCCACCACCCCAAACCCGCTCCCTTCAGTGAGATCCCGTGTCTGAGTTTCCTGTGGGGATTGTGAACAACCCCGAGGGGTCACCTCCAGGGTGCCCTTAATCCCCTCTCCTGGTTGTTTATGGAGGGCCCTGACAGCCACATTTGTCTGAGGCATCTCTTGGCTGAGAATGAACCCTCCTGGCTGGGAACTCCTCACCCACATCCCTGTGCCAGGAGGCTCCTCAGGGGGAAGCCGGAGGGGGACAGACGAGAAGGGGGTTGTGCACCAGGGTTTGTGGTCAGGTTTGGGCTCCATGGGAGCTGCCTGGGCCTGGAGAGGGCTCTGAGTTTAGTTCTCTCTGAGGTCTTGGTCGGTTTTGCAGGCGGAGAATCAAAATGCAGCGAGGGAAAATAACTTTGCTCCAGGCGTGGGGAGCAGAGCTGAGCCTGCAGCCGTGGCAGCAGCTCCTGTGCTGCTTCTCTTCCCCATGGAACAGCTCCACTGCAGTTTCACCTTCCCCATTAGGATCTCTGGGGCTGCCCCTGGGCTGTCTCTGCCCTCCCCCGGGCTCCAGACCAGCCTGCAGGGATCCTGTCTGTCCTGGTGACAACAGTGACGGCTCAGGCTCTGTGATCACTGGCTCCAGAGACAAGTGCTAATCACAGCTCAGATCAACACCATCGGTTTTCCTTTCCTCACCTCGTGTAGCTCCTCAGGGAGTTGCTTGCAGGTTTTAGGTTCCCTCCAGCATCAGAAATCAGGGGGTAGCAGCATCGTGGCAGTCTGCACACCCCACACTGGGCTGGCTGGGAATGTCTGTGCCCACCCTCGGGGAGGAGGGTGATGCAGAGGCCAGAGCTCCTCACGAGGTGCTCCAGGAATCAGAGAATCCCAGGCTGGTTTGGGTTGGAAGGGACTTTAAAGCTCATGGGCAGGGACACCTTCCACCAGACCAGGCTGCTCAAGAGCATCTGCAGGAGCTGCCCTGGCTCATGGGACAGGACAAGGCAGGACCTTCTCCTGGGGACAAACCTCCCTCTGTTGGGTGTGTGGTGAGAAATCCCCAGCTCTGTCCTCTCTGCCCTGGAGTTCTCATGACCTCACTCACAGGGGCTGATAAAACGAGGGAAAAAACAGGCTTTTTTTTTTTTTTTTTTTTTTCCAGGCTGGAAAAGCAAACAGCTTTTCCCATAAAACAGGGAAAAAAACAGGCTTTTTTTTCTTTTTCCAGGCTGGAAAAGCAAACAGCTTTTCCTGCCACAGGCAATGTCACCTTGGTGGAGCCTGACAATGCAGGCTCCATTTTTTTTCAGAGGTATCAGGTCTTGGTGTGTCCCATCTGCTTTGATAAGAACTTGGTGGCATCCAGCAACAGCTCTTACCTGTGCCAAGGCTCTGCCCCAAACCAGCTGCTGCCTGCTCTGTGCTCCCAGGCCCAGATAAGGGCTGCAAAGGTAATTCCCAATTTGCACCGGCATAAAACAGACCAGCTGCTGCCTGCTCTGTGCTCCCAGGCCCAGATAAGGGCTGCAAAGGTAATTCCCAATTTGCACCGGCATAAAACAGAGCCAGATCTGACCTTGGGAGCTCAAGGCCCCAAAGAGGTGACGACGAGTGGGCGGGAGGAGGATGAATAATCCAAGCTGAGTGCAACAGAGCCTTGAGAGGAGAGAGTTCACACTTAGCAGAGTAATTAGAAGTCAGGCAAGCAGCGGAGGGTTCTGGCCCCTTTCCTTGGGAGATCAAAGCTTGTTTTGGCAGGGGCTGTGTTTAAATGTATTTCTGGAAGGGCGGGAGGCTCGTCAGCAGTGTCTGCGGTCTCACTTTAATTTCCTTTGATATCCCAGGCAGCCTCGTTGTTTGCAGGGTGTCAGGGCCCCCCCTGAGCCACGGGAAATGCTGAGCAGAATCAAGCAGCCCCTCACTGTTTGCACGCCCACAGCTTCACATCTCCCCCCTCTGTGAGCACCCTGGAGGGTCCTCCAAGCCTGGGGGCAACTCCAGCCCTGAGTGCACCTTGGGACAGCCCAGGGGGTGCTGAGCTGGCACATCCCCCTCCCCACTCTGGCCCCAGGGCAGCCCAAACACCTTTCCCCTCGTCCCTGCAAGTCTCCTGTGTGTTTTACCTGCTTTTCCCATCCCCTTTGGATGCACTGGAATATCCAGGTTGTCGATTGACCTCTGACTTCACATCTGATGTTCATTTAGACGAGGAGATCGACACTGATCTACTGGTTCAAAGAGACAGTGCTGCTGGTTTGCACCTTTCAGGACAGGCTGCACCTTTTCCCAAGCTTTGGGGCTTTTTTTTAACCTATGGGAACCAGCACAAATTCACCCAGACCATCATTTAAGACAGATTAGTTGGAGTCCACTCAGTCAGATTTTAAATGGCTTTTGGGGTTGTTTGTTTGTTTGTTTGTTTGTTTTCCTGGCAGATAATTTGCTTAGGAAATGAGCAAGTGAAAAAGATTCGATCCGGTTTCATTGATCCACGTTCCTTTCACACCTGTGGTTAATTCAGGATGTTCCCTAATTGTTCCTGTACAAGCAGATGGACAGGAGGGGAAGGGACCAGAGAAACAAAAAGGGGTGACTGTGCCTTGTTTTTCCTGTCTGCCCAAAACCTCCTGGCGCTGTTTCAGGCCCTCTCAAGCCCAGTGGCACGGGCTGACCCCCCCTCTAAGGTGTGGGCTGCCTACCCAGGACACCCTGCACCCCTCAGGTTCCCTGGTTTCCCGGTGACCATGGCACAAAAACACATCTTTTCCCAGGTCACTTGCCTGCCACCTCTCATCCATCAGACCAGCAAACTGCAGCCAGGTCCCAGCCCTGCTCAGCACCCCGTGAAAAGCAGCCCTGCCTGCCCAGCCCTCAGCCATGAGATCATCGCTGGCAGAGCAGGGATTGTCTCCCTGCAGCCCGAGGAGAGGGCTGGGCCATGGGCAGGGGCCAGCCCGGGGCAGCAGCTCCTCCTCCCTGCGGAGTTTCCCTCCTGCGATGTCTGCGGGGTATCTAAAGGCAGAGTGGGGCATCCTTGGACCCTCCGGGTGTAATTTGGAGCGTGCCTGCAGAGGGGAAGGGCGTGGGATGGTCCTCCCTGCTTGGCCCCGCACCTTTTCAGAGGGAGATGCATCCCTGCCCTGGGGGGGAGGTGGTTCTCCTCCATCCCAGCACACCCAGGTTGGTGCTGCCTCCTCCTGAACATCCCCTTGGAAACAGCATCCGTGTGGATCAGAGGAATCCACCTCACTGGGGTCCAGGTGACCTGTGTTGAACCCAGCAGGCTTTGGCTGTGCCTCTGCCCGGGTCTGTGAGTGCCAGAGTGTTCCCACCGACCAGCTGTTAACTACAGAGTGAGGAGGGTTAAGTGCAGACCTCAAACTGGGGACCAGAAGGAGCTCAATGGCTTATTTTGTCCTGATTTTCTCGCTCCTTTCAGGGTTTCTTGGGCTCACACTCTGAGGCTTCACACCCGGAGCCCTGAGAGAAGAGTTATTTTCCTGAGCTGCTTTGGTTTTCAAGAGAGCTCTTGTGCTCCTGGGGGCTGTGCCTGGCTCAGGGCAGCGGGTTGGGGCAGGAAGGCCTGGAGTGGTTTGTTTTGCAATAAGTGACTCTGCAGCCTTTAATCCCAAACAACCTTCCAAGAAACAGTCACATCCTTGGAGGAAAGTGCCCTGATGCCTTTGGATTTGGTGGTTCCAAGGGCAGATGGGACGTGTGTGTGTGTGAACTCCTTGGAAACAGGGCTCTCTTTCTGTTTTGCTCCTGTATTGACCCAGCCCAGAGGGATCCAGAGCCATGGACAGGCACCTCAGTCTTCCTAAAGTGCACGTGGTGTTTTGCCTAATGTGGCATTTTTTGGGAGGATAAATCTGGGAAGTCAAAGTGAATACTCACCCCTGCACAACCTCAGGGTGCTGCTGCAGGAAGGTTGAGAACTGGAATGGGATGTGGGAGCTCTGGTTGGCCTGGGGTGTGAAGAAGTTCCCCCCTCTGCATCCCCCTCCCTGTCTGTCAAGGAGACCCTCGTGGCAGGGGGATGCACAGGGTGCTTTGGGGGTGCTGGAGAGCAGAGCCCTGTGGGTGCTGAGGCACCAGGAGTCTGGGGCAAAAAGCAGGAATTCCCTTGGCCTCCCAGACACAGAGAAGGAAGAAGATATTCCCACGGCCCCAGAGCATCCCTGCACGTCCCTGCCCTGCTCGCACTCCCTTTTCTCCAAAGTAAGATCCCTGGCACTTCAGCCACCGCTCCAGCAGCTCCCTCTCCTGTCTTTTTGTCCTCAGACCTGGCTCAAGGGCACCTGCAGCTGGGACAGCTGGGCAGGGAATTCCGGGCCGACAGCAGCCCCCTCTCGCCGTCGGAGGTGGAAGGGCAGTCCCCGGTGGCCGTCAGGTACCGCAGCAACAACCAGCGTCGCTTCTCCATGGAGGCAAGTGCTGCTGCAGGCTGGGGAGGGGGCAGGGGGGACATGGGAACCTCTGGCTGTCACCTCCCTGCTGGCTGGAAGAGCCGGTGTTGGGTTCGTGGGGACCTGGCAGTGCCAGGCTCAGCATCACCCCCGTGGTACCTGACCGAGCCCAGGCACATCCCCACGAGCACATCACCCCCCTTTTCCCTTTTCCTCTCGCTGAGGGTCCCACAGATGCTGCCCCATCACTTCCCCATCCATAGCAGCTCTCCCTTCATCACCCATCTCCTCTGTCCCTCTCTGCAGGACGTCAGCAAACGCCTCTCCCTGCCCATGGACATCCGCCTGCCCCCCGAGTTCCTGCAGAAGCTGCAGATGGAGAGCCCGGAGTTCCCCAAGCCCCTGAGCAGGATGTCCCGACGGGCTTCCCTCGTAAGGCTCACTGTGCACTCGGGCTGTGCCAGGGGAGGGGCAGCTTGGACATCAGGAGGAATTTCCTCCTGGAAAGGGTGGTCAGGCATTGGAAGGGGCCGCCCAGGAGGTGGTGGAGTCCCCAGCCCTGGAGGTGTCCAAGGACGTGGCCCTCAGTGCTCTGGGCGGGGGGACAAGGTGGGGGTCAGTCACTGAGTCTTGGAGGTCTTCCCCAACCCAAAGGACTCTGTGATCCCGAGATCTGCATCCCCTCCCCACTCTGTGATCCCGAGATCTGCATCCCCTCCCCACTCTGTGATCCCGAGATCTGCAGATCCCCTCCCCACTCTGTGATCCCGAGATCTGCATCCCCTCCCCACTCTGTGATCCCGAGATCTGCAGATCCCCTCCCCGTTCACAGCTCAGTGCTGCTGTGCAGTTCCCCAGGCCTGCACATTCCTTCCCTCACCTGTGCACACACCTGACTGTCCCCTAGGCCAGGCTCCTTCCCCGTGGGAGGAGGTGGGAACCCTCCTGCAGTTTGGCAAGTGCTGGAGCCTCTGCTGCTTGAAATGCAAATGTGGATAAATAATGAATTAGCCCCTGCGTTAGTGCTGGCATTTCAGCTTCTTTTGCTGCAGAGCAGCAGCACAAAGTAGGAGCAGAAACTCTGTGCCCTGTGTCCAGCTGTGCAGGGACCTGTCCTGCTGCCCAGAAGTGCCCAGTGCTGTACAAGTACCACAGCCAGGTCTCAGAAGGCATCTTTGGAGCCTACATGCCTGTTCAGGGGGAAGGAGGAGGACAGGAGAGCTCGAATTTACCTGCCTGTGTTGTCTAATCAATAAAATAGACACAGCCAGAGGGTTGTGTCATTAATATTCATGGTCCCCTCTATGAATAAGGAATGTGGCTCCAGGGGTTGTGCAGCACCTCTGGATTGCAGAAGCCACTTCGTTCCCCTGCTCAGGACGTGGCAGTTCCCAGGGCACACGGAGGGTTTGGGGAGTCAGTGGAGTAAAAATCCCACTGTTCCCCTGGGATTTGCTGCTTCAAATCCAGCCTGAGCGAGCAAGAAAGCAGCTTCCCAGCTTGGGAGAGCTGGGTGGGCTGTCAGTGCTTTCCCGTGGGGCAGAGCTGGGGGGGCTGCAGGAGCACCCCAGACCTGAGGCTGCTGTTCTACCTGGGGCTGCTGGTTCTACCTGGGCACGGGGTGGGGGGACCCCCTTCAGTGGCTCCCCAGGGTCCCTTTCCCTGCCTGCTGGGTGCCAGCTGTCCATCCAGCTCCATCTGCTGGTGAGCAGCGTGGCAGGAGCCCTCGGATCAGGGCTGGGGGGGTCTTGGGGTGGGCTGGAGGCAGAGCTGCTGGCCCGGGATTACAACGAGGGAACTGGATTTTGGGGGAGAACGGCACCATTTTGTTAAAGCTTCAGGAGCAGTGGTCTGCCCTGTGCCTTGGGGCCTGTGCTGCTGGGAATCACCCCTTTCCCTGGCACACACATGATCCCAGCTCGCTGAGGAGGTGTCTCTGTCCACACAGAAAATTGCAGTTTCGGGGGGTCTGCTGGGAGTGACACCCGACTCCGTGGATTTGCAGGGGCTGTGCTGCTGTCACTGGGTACAGGAGAGCAGGTCCCAGCAGCACATTAAGGAGTTACTGTTCCAAGTGGGAAAATGTCCCTTTCACACTTGATTGGAGCAGCGCACAGAGGAATGAGCAGTCACAGAGGAATGAGCAGTCACAGCGAGACCAGACGTAGGGAAGCACTCATGGACAGGCTGGACACCGGGAGAAGGATCCCACGGGGCTTCTCCCACAAAAAGGGCATTTTGCAAACCACAGCTCCTGTTCCCACTGCTGGTGGCGTGTCAGGCTGGTGGGTGGGAGAAGGGGACGCAGGGGTGGCAGGGGCAGGCTGAGGATGCAGGTCCATCCATCCCACTCCAGCAGCCAGTCTGTTGGGAAGGTTTTCTGATGGATTGCCTGCCCAGCTTCTCCAGGAAATTAATGGACTGGATGTGCTTGGATCAGCTGGCAAACACCTGCCTTGACTGGTCTGCCCCAAAACTGTCACTGCCCAGTGTCCCTGACCTTATCCCTGGAGGTGGAGCCATCCCTGGATGAGACACCACCCCCAGTGATGTTTTCCTTTCTCTGTTACAGTCAGATATTGGGTTTGGGAAGCTGGAGACCTACGTTAAACTGGACAAACTGGGGGAGGTGAGTATCCTATGGAGTATCCTATTAATTCCCTGTAAGGAATTAAATAAAGCCCCAAGGGCAGCTTGAAACACAAAGGACAGATTTCTTTAATAAATCCCAAAATTCAATAAAGCCAAATTTCTTCAATATCCAGGAACGTTCAGACCAAGTCTTTCCGGGGAGTTCAGACCTGGCCCTGGCACTTCAAATGGTCCTTCCTCCAAACATTTTGGGGATATCAGTGCTGTGCCAGGCTGGGAAATGGGCTGCAGGGCTTGTTCTCTCTCTCCCCCTCCCAGGGCACCTACGCCACCGTCTTCAAGGGACGCAGCAAACTGACAGAAAACCTCGTGGCCCTGAAGGAAATCCGGCTGGAGCACGAGGAGGGGGCTCCTTGCACGGCCATCCGGGAAGGTGAGGCCAGGGGGGCTCTTCCCCGTCACAGGCAGGTTTGGGGTGGGTGGTGCAGGGGGTACCTGTGGTCAGTCCCAGGTGGATTTGGGGTGGGTGATGCAGGGGGATGTCTGTACCTGGGATCACTCCAGCTGGATTTGGGGTGGGTGGTTCAGGGGGTACCTGTGGTCAGTCCCAGGTGGATTTGGGGTGGGTGATGCAGGGGGATGTCTGTACCTGGGATCACTCCAGCTGGATTTGGGGTGGGTGGTTCAGGGGGTACCTGTGGTCAGTCTTGGGTGGATTTGGGGTGGGTGGTGCAGGGGGTACCTGTGGTCAGTCCCAGGTGGATTTGGGGTGGGTGGTGCAGGGGGTACCTGTGGTCAGTCCTGGGTGGATTTGGGGTGATGCAGGGCTGGTGCAGGGGGATGTCTGTACCTGGGATCACTCCAGATAGATTTGGGGTGGGTGGTGCAGGGGCATGTCTGTGGTCAGTCCCAGGTGGATTTGGGGTGGGTGGTGCAGGGGGATGTCTGTGGTCAGTCCTAGGTGGATTTGGGGTGGGTGGTGCAGGGGGTACTTGTGGTCAGTCCCAGGTGGATTTGGGGTGGGTGGTGCAGGGGGATGTTTGTGGTCAGTCCCAGGTGGATTTGGGGTGGGTGGTGCAGGGGGTACCTGTGGCCAGCCCCAGGTCCTGCTGCCCCAACCTGTCCCCTGCCCCCCAAACCCTGCAGTGTCACTGCTGAAGAACCTGAAGCACGCCAACATCGTGACCCTGCACGACATCATCCACACCGAGCGCTCCCTCACCCTCGTCTTCGAGTACCTGGTGGGTCTGGGGGCTCTCTGGGAACAGGGGGACAGTGGGGGTGGGTGATGGGGGCCAGGGGAAGGACAGGCTGACCTGTGCTTCCCACTGCAGGACAACGACCTCAAGCAGTACCTGGATAACTGTGGGAACCTGATGAGTGTGCACAACGTGAAGGTAAAGGGGGGGTGCCCCCCTGCCCCTGCATGTGGGGAGATCACCCGGAGGCAGGGGAAGGCTGGAGACCCCTTCTCCCTTCAGTTCAGCCCTGTTACTCCTCTTTGGCCTTTTTCAGCCTGTTCTGACACTCCACCAGCATTTCTCTGGTCACTGCCACCCTAAATAAAATCACTGTGCGTGCAGACCCGACTGACCCCCCTTTCTGTGTCTCTGTGATGGGCCTGAACCCTTCCCTAGAGCGTGTCCCACCCCAGGCCAGCTTGGAGGGGTCTTTCCTGGCCATGAGTTTGGGATACCTCGAGGCAGGTTCATTTTTAGGGCCCGTGTCCTAAAAATGCTGAGTGCAAACCCCTTCTCCTCCCCGCAGATCTTCATGTTCCAGCTGCTGCGGGGTCTGGCTTATTGCCACGGGAGGAAGATCCTGCACCGAGACCTCAAACCCCAGAACCTGCTCATCAACGAGAGGGGGGAGCTCAAACTGGCTGATTTTGGTATGTGACCCTCTCCGGGGATGATGCAGTGTTAAGAGGAGGTGCAGCTCCTTTGATGTCCGTCCCTTCCGTCCCCAGGGCTCGCCAGGGCCAAGTCAGTGCCCACAAAAACATATTCCAACGAGGTGGTCACGCTGTGGTACCGCCCCCCCGACGTCCTGCTGGGATCCACGGAATATTCCACCCCCATCGACATGTGGTGAGTCACAGCCCCAAATGGAGCTCCCTGGGCTCTCTGGGGTGGTGGGTCAGGCATTTCCATCCCCATCCCCACCGTGTTGGTTATGCCAGAGGGTGGGGGGCTCTCCCAGAGCTGTTTTCCATGTCCCTTGGGGGTCGAGGTCTCCAGAACGTGCTGTCCCCATCGGGGTGAGAGGTGATTAGAAAGGACAGAGCTCCTGGAGGTTGTTTCCCTGCTCCAGGAGCCTCATCCCTGGAAAAGTGGGGGGGAGGGGGGCCCGCGTGGCTCGTCCCTCCCTAATCCCGGGGGTGTCTCCCGCGCTCCAGGGGCGTGGGGTGCATCCACTACGAGATGGTGACGGGGCGGCCCATGTTCCCCGGCTCCACGGTGAAGGAGGAGCTGCACCTCATCTTCAGGCTGCTGGGTGAGGGCTGCGCTGTGCCCGCGTCCCCACGCGAGGGCAGTGGCTGCCCGCGGGAGCGGCGGGAGCGGGCACGGCCGGGATGGGGCGGGAGGGGGTGGGAGGGGGAAAGCAGGGCTGGGATGGGGTGGGATGGGGCGGAAGGGGGTGGGCTGATGTGGGATGGAGTGGATTGGGCGGGCAGGAGTGAGCAGGGTTGGGCAGGCGTGGGATGGGGTGGGCAGGGGTGAGAAGGGATGGGCTGGCAGGGGGTGGGGTGGGCAGAGGTGGGCACGCGTGCTCTGGGGTGGGCTTAGGTGGGTTGGCACGGGCAGGGGTGAATAGGGGTGGGCAGAGGTGGGCACACGTGCTCTGGGGTGGGCTGGGGTGGGCAGAGTTTGGCAGGAGTGCCCTGGGGTAGGCAGGGTTTGGCAGGGGTGGGCTGAGGTGGGCAGGAGTGAACAGGGCAGGCATGGGATGAGGTGGGCAGGGGTGGGCTCACATGCTCTGGGGTGGGCTGGGGTGGGCAGGGTTTGGCAAGGATGGGATGGTGTGGGCAGAGGTGGGCACATGTACTCTGGGGTGGGCAGGAGGACACAGGGGTGGGCAGGCATGGGGTAGCAGGGCAAGTGTGAGCAGGGAGGTGGGCAGGGCTGGTCTGGCACAGGTAGGGGTGGGCAGAGTCTGCCCACAGCCCCCCTCCAGGCTGGCAGAGGTGGGAGGGTGAGGTGCTCCTCGCTGGTTGCCCCAGGCAGTGCCAGCCATGTCCTCTCTCTCTCGGGGACAGGAGACCCACACTCAGGAGGCTTTTCCTTCTGTACCAAATGACCGTGACAGGTTTCCCTCTGCCCCCCTCCCAGGTACCCCCACAGAGGACACCTGGCCTGGGATCACATCCAACGAGGAGTTCAAGGCTTACAACTTCACCCAGTACCGAGCCCAGCCCTTGATAAATCACGCCCCCAGGTACCTCCTGGAGCAGGGGCACCAAAGCCATGGGGGGCTTGTGCTGGGTGGAAAGGGGAGCCTGGGGAGACCAGTTTCATTTTCTCCTTGTGGTGCCAGAGGCTGCAGTGCCTCTTGTCCCTGGGTGCAATTGTTTGACTGTCTCCTGGTTTTATTCCCTCTTTCTCTCAGGCTGGACTCAGAAGGCATTGACCTGCTGGCAAACCTCCTCCTGGTGAGTGGCAGAGCAGCCCAGGTGGGTGGCAAAGGGATTTGTTCCAGGGAAGGTGCTCTGGCTGCCCTCACACTGGCACTGGAGCCGGGCAGGAGAGGAGCTGTGGCTGCAGGATCAGCCCTGGCCCTACAGCTGTCCCAAAGCACCTCCCACCAAGGATGGTGAACCCTTTACCCTGTGTCCTCTCCCACACAAGTGAGAGGGCACAAAGCTGATGATCCATGAGGTACAACGTGGCCAGGGCATTCCTGTGCTCCCACAGCGTGTGCTGTGCCCTGGGCTGCCACAAATGGCACTGGGAACCGCCTGCACCCCCCCCGCCGGGTCTGTCACCCAGCACGTGGCATTGCTGGGGCTCTCAGACGGGCAGAGGTGCCCAGATGTGCCCACACGTGGCCTCTGTGCCCGCTGGGCGCCGTCCCACCCGTGCAGACCGTGTGTAACATCCTCTCTCTGGGGCTTTGTGCAGTACAGGGTCAAGAGCCGGATCTCAGCAGAGGCAGCCCTGCAGCACCCCTACTTCAAGAGCCTGGGAGACAGGGTGCACCTCCTGCCTGACAGTAAGTGCTGCCTGTCCCCTCGTGTGGAGCAGAAAGGGGTTCCTGGGCAGCCCCAGGGGGTGGTTGGTTGGCAGCCCCTTGTCTTTGCTCACTCAGAGGTGCTCCTGCAGCAGGGTGGGGTGGGAGCTGGATGGCTGTGAGAGCAAGGAATAATTTAGGCAGGATGGGGAGGAATAGGAGAGAGAGAGAAGAGCTCTGATGAGAGGCCACGTGTCAAGGCTGTCCCCCTCCCCGGCTCTGGGGTTGTGGATCAGCTGCACTGACCCCTCTCTCTGCTCCCTCTGCCCAGATGCCTCCATTTTCTCCCTGAAGGAGATCCAGCTTCAAAAGGACCCTGGCTACCGAGGCTCAGCCTTCCAGCAGTCAGGTAGGACTGGGGAAAAGCCCTCTGGCCTCTCCCGAGTGGTGCCATGGATCATTCTGGCACTGGGGTTACTCCCAGTGGGTCCCACATAGGAAAAAGCCAGACCTGCTCCCTGTTACCTGCTTTAGTCCACAAATCATCCCTGGGGCATCCTTGCTTGTCACCTACCATGGTACTAAAGTCACTTTTAGGTGTCCTGAGGCACAGCTCCTTCCTCCCTGGATGCCACGGGCTCGGGATCTCCCAACCCAGAGCACCTCAGGGCTCAGCTGCTCTGCAGAGCCACTGTCTGACCTCCCTGACCCATCTCTCTCTCTCTCTTCCTCAGCCCGAGGGAAGAACAGGAGGCAGAGTATATTTTAAACCTGGATCTCATGTTCCCCTTGTCACCATGGAGATGGAAGCACTGAGAAAGGAGACAGGCAGCGAGCTCCCACCCGACCCCCCGCAGGATTCCCAGCCGGGGCAGGACAATGCTGAAGTGCCCTTGGCCTCAGGATGTCCCCGTGTGTCCCCAAACCCCCTGGAGCTGCTGCTGATGGACCTGTGGCCTTGTTTTCCCCCTCCTGTTTCCGTGTTGTCCCCGTCAGACACGTGAGCTGCCACCCCCCCGAGCAGGGGCTCCACTGAGGAGCTGCAGGACCACGACCTTGTACAGCTGCACCCCGGGGGTGAGCTGGGCACCCTGGGGGTTCTGTGAAGCACGGGGTGGTGTCTCCCAAGTTGTGGTGTTTGGCCCAGGCAGGCGTTTCTGAACACGTACCTTTGCTCAGACAACCTGCTCTGCACCCCCAGTTTCTTGGGGGGGACACTTTGCAGCTGTGAGTCATGGGCATGACCCAGCCTGGCACTGGGAGGCTGCCCCTGGAGCACAGAAACCAGGGCAGCCCTCCCTTGTTTCCCTTGCTTCTGCCTGCAGAGCCCCTTTTTTTTTCTCTCCCCATCTTTGGTCCCTGAGTCCTGACAAGGATGGGGCAGCTGGAAGGGGAGGGCTCCCCATCGCTTCTCCCTCCACATCTCCCCCTCCTTGCCGTCATCGTGGTCCCAAATTCAGCCAGCTGGGATGTCCTAAATTCAGCCAGCTGGGATGTCCTGAGCTGGGGGCAGGTACCTGTGCAGAGGAGGGGCCAGGTGAGCCCTGGCTCTGTGCTGTGCCCTCCAACCAGCCTTTCCCAGGCACCCACGGAGCAGCCCCTTCCTCATCCCCCCACAGCCACGACCCTCTCTGACCCCACAAGGGGCAGGATGGGGGTCCCAGGCAGTGTCTCAGGAGCACATCTCCCCCCCCATCCCATCCCTGAGCCCCCACAGCACAAGGCAGAGCCCGAGTCCCAGGCAGCAGAGCGCTGCACACGCCCACCTCAGCGCGCTTCTCCCCGGAGGAAGGGAGAGAGGTGCCAAACCTCCCACAGCTCAGCTGTGGGCGCCAGAAATAGAGCTGGAGAGAAGCAGACCGTCCCTCGAGCCTCCCTGCCTGCCCTCGGGGTGGGGATTGTCCCAGCCCCGGCTCAGAGGGCTCTGGGGACAGAGGGGGGTGTGAGGTGTGAGCGTGCTGTGCCGGCTGGAGGCTGCCCTGGCTGTGTTTTCCCCTCCACACCCTTCAGGAAGATGCCAAATCCATCCTGAGCGAAGGGGCCCTGCTGCACCTCTCCCCCACAGCCTGCAAACAGTCTGCAAGTGTGTGAGCATGGCAAGAAGTCTCTCTACTGTACATTATTCCTGTCATTTCCTTGGACGACTGGTCCCCTCACCCAGTGCTCCTGCAGCCCGTGGGTGTGACCAGGAGGATCTGGACGTGGCCAGTGCTGTGAGTGCCACCTGGGACCGGCCTGGCAGGGTGTGCTGGTGCATTGGGGTGCCCTGCTCAGGGGATGGCAGCTCCCTGTGCTGCTGTTCCCCCACGGAGCAGGGAGTGAGGGCTGGTTTCTGCTTTGCTGTGCGTCATTTCCTCTGTGAGCCTTGGAAAACACGCAGCAGGAGGATAAAAGTGGGGACTCCAGAGGTCCCCAGAGCCCCTGGGACGGCTCCTCCCCGTGCCAGTGCTGGCTGCTCCCTGTGAGCTTCCCCATCCCAGCAGAGCTGTTGATTGGGGTCTGTCCTAGACAAGCATCCAGACGTCTGCATTGTTTGAGGTTTGCCCATCCCTGCTCTGTTCCCTCTCGCTGTGTCCAGCTCCCAGCAGGCTGAATAGCTCATTAATTGTTTCCATTTGATAGGGAAGAGCGTGAGCAGCCACCAGCCCCAGTGACGCAGTTCAGCCCCGTGTCGGGGCCGTGCCCTCCCGGCCCCACTCCCGGCTCCTGCTCCCGGGGAGCTCCGCCGAGGGAGGGCTTGGCTGGAGCCACTCGGGGCTCTCACTCTGCCCTCTTTCCTTTCACAAAGGAATTTCCTCGGATCTGTGGGGCAGACTTGCACTTCCCGAGGCTCCCATCAGGAATTAGCAGCTCAGGACGGCTCAGGGGGTGCAGCAGCACCTTCAGGTCCCTGGGGGAGAGGAGTGCTGCCGTGTGCAGGGGAACAGAGCCTGGATCAGACCAGGGAAAGCAGGAATCTCCTTCACCCAGCCTTGGGAAGCCCACTCAGGACACGTGTGAGCAGCTCTCGTGCAGTTTTCTTGCTTGGCGTTGCCATCCCCGTGGGGCATAACCTTCCTGGGGCATTGGATGCCCAGCTGAGCCATCCCACATTCCCACTGGGAGGATGGAGACAGGACACACCGGATCAGTGTGGCCTCAGCTCTCCCTCCATCAGGCAGATATTCCTGCTGAAGGTCAAAGTCACCTACAGACACCACTGGAGGAAAGACTTAGCCATGACCATGGAGCCAGGGGGCATTCCCAGGATCAGACAAGGCAAAGACAAAGGGCCTGGTGGCTCCTGTTTATTCTTTCCTAACCTTTGCCTTTCCTACAAATCCTCCCCAGAGGAGACACTATTATTTATTAGCCCCACTAACAGCCCCAATCTGAGATAACCCCTTTTGTTCCACTCATTTAGTGGGTGTTTGATTCCCACCGAGGAGGTGATAGGGTGTGTAAATATTTGGTGCCCCACTGAGCAAGGTGAGCCTGGAGCCAAATCCCTCTTCTCCATGTCTGGGATAGCATTCCAGTCTCCATGGGCTGGCTTTATGAGGAGAGGGATCTCTTGGATACCCCCCTCTCTCCTCCCTGTGCCCTCTCCAGCAGCTCAGCCCTGGCAGGAAGAGCTTTCCCAGGTTTTGGAGCACCAGCCAGCTCCCAAGTTGGATTTCTTATTAAAATTCTGGGAATTTCTTGTGGCTCTCCAGCATTTTTTTTCCCTTGTTTTATGGATTCTCCCATCCAGTGCTTTGTGGAGCAGCTGCCACTCCTGGCAGATGAGGAGTCCTGACAAAAGGAAATTGTTGCTTTGTTCTTCCACACATTTTTCTTGGAATTTTTTCTTTTTTTTGGTTTCTTTTTACCAGTCCTGGTGAAAAACAGGAGTTTTGGCCGTGCCATCAGGAAAGGCCGTGTTCTCCCAACTTTTCAGCTCACGGCTGGGTAAAGGAATGTAAGTAAAGTGATGTGCAAAGTGAGGTCTGTGTTTGGGACCACAGTAACACTTGGAGGCAGAGCTGGTTCATCTCATTTCATCTCTCCCTTCCCACCTGCACACGCCTTTCCTGGCCCAACCCTTTGCCAGATCTATGTTAAGATTTTAAACAACAAAACTACATTGTATCTTGGAGACTGAGGACAAAATAAATGCCTTTTTTTATTTTTTTTTTCCCTCTCCCTTACACACGAGGCAAAAAAAAAAAAACAAAACCAACCTAATTAAAGGGCATTTTCCCAAGGTTCTCCAATGTTTTCTTTGGGGTTTTTTCACCTGATCTCACCTGCCAAAAGCTCTGGCTCTGCCTGGTGGTGCTGCTCCAGCTGTGCTGCACATCTGCCCTGTCTCTGTGCGCTCCTGTAAAAGCTGATTTTGGATGTCCCTGAGCACCCCCTGTCTGGGCACAAACGCTCTGAAACCCATTTTCGAGTTTCTCCTCCCTCCTCAGCATCGAGCTTGTCCTGCAGCAGGAAAAATGGATGCAAGTGGCCAGGATGCACAAACTGTGAACGTCCTCTGGTGTTGATTCATTTGCAGAAGACCAGTAATATATTTAACGAGTGTTGTACGAGCGAAAGACGCGTTTTAAAAGAAACGGTTTTAAAGATTTATTCCGAAAGGAGCAACGATTTCTTTTTTTTTTTTTTTTTTTTTTTTTTTTTTAATAGAAAGTTTTTTTCTGGAATAAATGGAAAGGCACAAAGGAAAAAAAAAAAAAAGAATAAAAGATTGTATCCATCTACCAGTCTGGTGTCTCTGTGTTTAATAAGAATATTTCAATTTTTGCATTTCAGGTGTGACACGGACTGTTTTGTGGCCGTGCTCGTTTCATTGCTAAGGCTTTAATATTTAATTTAAATATTTAATTTAAATATTTAATTTAAATGTAATAATTTACATTATTATATTACATCTCAAATATTACATTATTATGTGTTGTGAATGCCCCAAAGCCGTGACTGGACAACAAACTGTGTGGAATATGGGATGGGTTTGCACAGGATTTAATTTTTCTCTTTTCTCTTTTTTTTTTTGGTAGGAGAAGGACCTGCTTTGGTTTTTGAGGCTCAGGTAGGTGGGACTGAAGGAAGGGGGGTCATCTCAGGTGGGCAGGTCCCGTGGAAGGGGTGAAGCTGCTCCGTGGTGAGTGTTCATTCCATGCCATTCCATTCCGTGCCACCTTTGCTCCTTCCCACGGAATCATTCCCACGGCTTTCCCTGCTGCTCCAGGACACCTTTCCTGCTACCAGGGCACTTTTGGGCTGGGTGTGGTGAACTCCCAAAGAGCACAAAAGGAGTCTGCCCAGCAGCTGACCTCTGCAGGGGGCAGAAACCCAAGACCTGGGAGACTCGTGCGTAATAGGAAGGTGTTCCTGTGGTCCCTTGCGTGGCTCCTGAGGCCCTGAATAAATATTGCCATAAGCCTATCGGGCAAATAAAGCCCAAGGCTGACAAGCCCAGCCCAGGCTTGCAAACCAGCCAGAGGGCAGAGCTGGGGAAGGGACAGGGGAGCCCTTTTTCCCGCAGATCCAGCAGCTAAAATCCCCCTGGGATCAGAGTTACTCAGCTCCACTGTCCCCTTTGCATATTCCTGCTCTCTGCTGTCAGTGCTGGGGAGAATCTCCAGCCACCAGTGCCCCGGGAATGTGGGAAGAGCCAGAGCTGGGGCACGAGGGGCCCTGTGGGATCTTTGGGACCGGGCTGTGGTGTGAGCCCAGGGGTGATGGGCTGCTTTAGGGAAGGGGACAGTGCCCTTCACCCCCCTCCTTGGGTGCAGCTCCAGCCCTCCCAGCCTGAGTCACGTTCCGGGGCTGGTGTGGGCAGGTCCCCAGTAACAACCTGTTTGCCAAACCAGTTCCTCCATCTGCTGCTCTCATTCCTCCAGTGCCGGAGCTGCATCCGGGGGAATGCTGCCCAGCATCCCCAGTCCACATCCCCCTCCCGGCTTCCAGACATTCCCAGCTGCCCAAACAGCCCAAGTATTCCCTCGGGGAGTCCTCCTGCCTCGCCAGGATGCTCCAGCCGGGTCACTGGTTGCTCCCCGGGTCTCAGGGTGTATCTGACCACGAGGCTGGTGTGATACCTGCTGCCCTCCACGGGGTTATCTGAGTGTCATCATATTCCTGGGGCATTTTGGGGAGGCTCAGCCTGGCTTGTTCCCTTGCAGCCACCCCCCTGGGCCGTGGTTTTAGTGCCCCAAGCACAGCTCAGCTGTGGTGGGTGTGTGACTTGTTCCAGTAGGGTTGGGTGGCAGGAAAACGTGTAGGTGAGCACTTCCTCCTTTCAGACAAGTGTTACAAGATCTGTAACAACTGGGCCAAGATTTCAGGCTAATGTTTGGCCTGGAAGTGGAGCCAAGCTTTCCAAACCACGCCGTGTGTTTTGAAACTCTTGACCCCGAAGCACACGAGGTGAACACCTCTCTCGTGTGCCCATTCGGGTTCCTGAGCATCTCTCAGGCAGCCAAGAATGATTTGACTCATCCCATGGGGAAGTTTACCCAGTGTTGTAAGAAGCATCCTGTCCTCTGTCAGTCAGTGATTCAGAGTTATTTTCTTATCTGCTCAAGCTTGCTTGGTGCTGGGTTTTTTGGAGGCATCAAAGTTCCCATCTCCAAATGTACATGTGGCTCTTGGACCCATCACACTGGCACTCTGGGATAACTCTTGTGGTTTCTGAGGGGGCCAGCCCAGATTTGCCCTTTGTGGCCTTTGGCAAAAGAAGGACAGGGAAAACTTGAGCAATCTCTCAGCCCCAGGCCCTTGGCCGAGCTGCCAACACTGGCAAAAGCCTTGGGGGAACCTGTCCCCAGGCACCTGCTGTCCCAAGCCCAGCTGTGGGGTCTCAGCTGGTTCCACCCCAAGGAAACCCTTAGAAAACCTGTAACTGGAGCTGGATTTCCCCACTGTGTTGAGACTGGGTGAAGAGAAGCGACGCCAACAGCACAACAGCTAATCTGGGCCGAAGCTCTACAGCCACTGCAAGCAGGACTGATCACCACAGAGGAGCTGAAAAAATTAACTGGTACAGTGTGAAAACTGCCTGCTGTGCCTCTCGCTGTCCCAGGAATGTTGGAGGGCACGGGAAGCGAAAGGAAGGGTTTTCCCCAAACGCCTGTTGGATGTTTTGGAGCGTGCTCCGAGGGATGCTGCTGGCTGCAGTCGTGCTGCTCTGCTCTTCCTTCATTCATGGTTTCACTTTGCAGTTTGCAGCAAGTGCAAAACTGTGGGTGTTTAATTCAGTGCAAGTACAACATGGATCTCAGTTTGGAAAACAGCCGAAAGTGCCTCCTCGTGGAGCTAATTCGGGGGTTGCATATACTCATGGTCCTGTGGCTTGCATTTTTATGAGCTGCCTCCCAGGATCTGGATTTCAGTGTGTGGAACCAGAAAGGATCTGTGTGTTCCTGTGCTGACTAACCCACCTACGCCTCGGTTCTTATTTGCAAGCAATATCTTGCATGGTTTCTGTTATCCCTGATAAAAGGGCCTGATATTCCTGGAAGCAACTGTTCCTGCATTCAGGTCAGTCGGAGCTGGGGAAGGGGTTGTGCCAATATTTGTCGGCTCTGGTGCTTGGATGCTGCCTTTTCATCCGGGAGTGGGGGATGCAGGGAGCCTGCAAAGGTGGGGAAAGCCTCGCTCAGCCATTTTATAGTTGGGAATTCAAGCCCCGGGGAGCTGATGCTCTCCAGTGATGGGGATGCAGCAATGGAAGCCAGGAGCAGACTGCAGGTCTCCCAACTCCCTGTCCAGTAAAGGGAGAACCAAGATCAAGACTGAGATGAAGAATGTGGCCCAGGGGAACTGCAGCTCAGCCCTTTTCCTGGGGCAGAGCACTGGTGTGGGGAAGACAAGGATCTGCTGTTTCATCAGGTTAAGTTGGCTCTGTGAACAAGATGTATGGACAAGGAGGGTCAGGAGATGACTTTCCCAACAGTGTTTTGATGGAAAGGCCTTTATTGTCACAATCCTTTCTCCCTCATCCTCTGCTTGTGGATGGGGAATTGAGCTGAGACACTTTGCAGCAGTGTGGCCTCTCAAATCTAGTTTTTGCCTGGCAGGGAGAGCCTGAGGCTGTGGCTTCCAGGCTGTGCCTCCCCCTCCCCTCCACCCTGCCATCCAGGCTGTTTAGGAAGGTGGTTTATCATGTAATGATAAAACTGAATTTCCGCCCTCGCTGTTGACTCACTCCCTGTCCCTGAGCAAAGCTCTTCATTCCTTCCTGGCCCTGGGTTTTCCCATCAGTCAAACAGGACAAGGACATTGCTCCAGCCCTCCAGGCAGCTCAGCTGCTCCTTTGATTGTTTAATGGCTTCAAGTGCAGGTGCTGAGCGGCCCCAGGAGTTGTGAGTTTGGGGCAGCTGGGAGGGCGGGGGTGCAATGACCCCACTGCCCCCCACGGTCACTGGGCTCACTTTGGTGCTGGAAGGGGACGTGACCTTGTTCTCCTTACTCCTGGGGAAGATTCCAGTGGATGCCACGGGCACGGAAGAACAAGGACTTGGATGCAATTTGGATTAGCTAAACATTAAGCTCTGGCCAGGTGGAAATGAGCACCTGCAGCCCCGGAGCAGCATTCCTGAGGGCCGGCTCACAGGATGGGTGAGTACCTGTGCCCAGGGAGGGACCTGGAGCCAGCCCTCCACCATGGCTGAGCTCCATCGATTCTGCTTTTGCCTGGAAAGAGTGTTCTAAAAATTGCCAGTCTTTCCTAGCTAAAGTAGGTGAAATATTTATAAACCCATCCTCTAGAGAAGACCTTTTGCGTAAGCACCGACTGCTCCGGCTTTAAAACCCGCGCCCTCCCCCCGCCCCAAGCCATCCTGTGCCTCTTATCTCAGGGAAGGGGCAACTTTAATTGCGTTTCTCTGGGAGGGTGACACCTATTTACGGGTGCGAGAGACCGCAGGGACGGCTGGCAGCAGGGGAAAAAAACGAAAAAAAAAAAAAGAAAAAAGGGAGATTTCTGGATTTCCTTGCTTGGCTGTGCTCTCTGTGCCTGTAGTTTAATACCCCGGGGTGCGCCCACCACGCAGAGGGGTCGCCCCACTTTTGGAAAGATGATGCGGGAACTGGGAGAGAGGAGAGGGAGGAAGAGGAGGAGGTGGGAAAGGAGGAGGAGGGGGGGACACGCGATGCTCGGGATCCTTCCAGCCCCCGGGGGATGCTCCGGGGTCCGCCGGGGCGGCTCCGGGGGCGGCGGGGGATGGAGAGGGGCCCCGCTCCGCCCGGCCCCGGAGGCGGAGCCAGCGCCCGGCGCGGCGGGCTCGGGAGCCACATCCCGCAAAGGAGGAGCGGGGCCGGGATCGGGAGCGGGGCGGCGGCGGGGCCGGAGCCCAGCGCCGGAGCCCATCACCGCGGCCGCCCCGCGCCGCCGCCCACCATGTGGTGGGACGAGCGGGTGTCGGCGCGGTTCCGGAGGAACCTGCAGCCCACCCTCACCTACTGGAGCGTCTTCTTCAGCTTCGGCCTCTGCATCGCCTTCCTGGGGCCCACGCTGCTGGACCTGCGCTGCCAGACCCAGAGCTCCCTCTCCCAGATCACCTGGGTCTTCTTCTCCCAGCAGTTCTGCCTCCTGCTCGGCAGCTGCCTCGGAGGGGTCTTCAAGAGGACGTAAGCGCCT